TTGGAGAAGAGTATTGAATATACCATGGACTGCTAAGAAAATGAACAGATTCATTTTAAAGAGGGCTAAGCCAGGATGCTCTTGGAGGGAAGGATTCTGAAGCTTTGTCAGACATATTTTGGACATGTTGCAAGGAGGCACCAATCCATGGAGAGGCACTTCATGCTTGGGAGAGTGAAGGGACAGCAGAGGAGAGGAAGACCCTCTACAAAGTGGACTGATTCAGTGACTGGGGTAACTGGGGTAGGTGTGTCAGAGACAGTGAGATTGGCACAGGATAGAGCAGGGTTTAGGGTTGCTGCCATAGAGTCGCTATGAGTCGTAGGTGACTCGATGGCACATAATAATATCAACATTAAAAACTTAAGGAGTTACAATTATTTATTATTTAGGTGCCATCAAGTATGACTCATAGCAACCTTATAAACAATAGATCTGAACCTTTTCCTATCCTGTGCCAGCCTCACAGTCTCACTTGAGTCCACTGCCACAGTCATTGTGTCAATCCACCTGGTTGAACGTCTTCCTCTCTTTTACTGTTCCTTCCACTTTTCCAAGCATGATTTCCTTCTCCAACGAATGTCCTCTATTAGCAACATGCCCAAAGTGTATATCTTCCTTGCTTCCAAGAAGTAATCTAGCTTCACCTTTTCTAAGACATATCTTTGTTTTTGTTTTGTTTTGTTTTGGCAGTCCATGGGACAGTCAGTACTCTGCTTCAACACAAAGGCATCAATGTTTCTTTTGTCATCTTTATTCACTGCCCAGTTCTCAGTTGCATAGGAAGTCATTGAAAAGATTTTTACCTCAATCAGGCACACCTTAGACCTTTAAGTAACATCATTGCTCCCCAGTAATCAAGAGAGTCCCCTGACTGCATACGTCCCCCAGTGCAAGGCATCTCCTGATCTCCTGATTGCTGGTGCCAGGCATATTTATTGTGGACCCAAGTATAAGGAAGTCATTGACAGTTTCAATCTTGTCACTATCATGATGTTGCCTACTGGTCCAGCAGTGAGAATTTTTTGTCTTGATGTTGAGATGCAGTGTCTGATATTCTGCAGCAAGGGTTTCAAGTCCTTCTCATTTTTAACAAGCATACTTGTGTCATCTGAATACTGAAAGTTACTGATGATTCTACCTCCAATCTTTATGCCACATTTCTCCCCATAGAGTTCAGCTTTTTAAATCACTTGCTCAGCATACAGATTGAAGAGGTACAGGGAAAAAAATACAATCCTGCCACACATCTTAGTTAATGAAGTATAGCTTATAAAAGGATCTTTGTGGAGAATTTTAGTAACATAAAATTATTGCAAATTTTGTAGAATTGCTCAAGTATAATTATAAAGCGGAAAGATTAAATACCAAAATGTTAAGGGAGGTTTTAATTGAATAGTAGAGTCCAGGACTGAGCCTTTCGTTAATCTTTTTACTTTCCCTTATATTTTTCCAAATACTCTACAGCAATCATGTATTACTGGTTTTTAAAAAGTAAGAATTTCAAAACAACTATGAGATAACATCTCACCCCAGCCAGAATAGAAAAAAAAAATGCTGGCAAGGTTGTTGAGAAGCCAGAGCCCTTATTCACTGTCAGTGGGAGTGTAAAACGGTACAGCCACTATGGATAGCGGTACGGCACTTTCTCAAAAAGTTGCAAATAGCAACACCATTTGACCCAGAAATTCCAACACTGGGAATATAACCCAAAGAAACCATAACTGCAACCCAAGCAGATATATGCACACCATGTTCATTGCAGCTTTGTTCACAATAGCAAAGAGTTGCAAACAACCTAAGTGCGCATCAACAATTGAATGGATAGAGAAGCTGTGGTATATTCACACAATGGAATACTACACTGTATTGAAAAACAAGAAACTCATGAAATATTATTCAAAATGGATGACCCTGGAGGACATTATGCTGAGTGAAATATTTCAGTCACAAAAGGACAAATACTGCATAGTGCCACTGTTGTA